CTTGAGTGGTACGATTGCACTCAAGCCTTTGTCCAGCCCAAAACAGGGTGACCGTAGTCTCGTATGGAAATATACACGAAAAAGGCAGCCTACGCCATGTTCAGGTGAAGTATAACCTAAACATTTCTCGTTTATTCAAACTTTCTACATTGGCAATGAATTTCATTTTCGATGATTTTTCTCTCAGCATTCTCAGGTTGACCTTTGGGAGCTAAACGGCGACTATAAAAATGATTAGCTTGAAGCGCGATGTCAAAAACAGGTAGCATTCGCCTTCAGCTGAATGTTGCCATATGCTCAGATATACTCCTTATCCCTGAGACGGGGTAGGCGTGGCGTTTTCACAGAGCTGGTTACTCGTGGGATATTTCAATTTGAGAGACCGCCATCTTGTTCTTGGACAGAGACGTGACCACATTTGGGTCAAAATGAAAATATCTCTCCAAAAGCATAGCCACCACGACGTTTAGTTGAAGTACGCAGCCACGCCGTACCTCATCCCAGGGAAATCGAGTACACGTGGAACAACGTGGAAATTCGATTGGTGAAAGAAAGTCGTAAAAATCATCACCTGCAGTGCCGACCGAAATCCATATTGTAGCATGCTTGTCGGTGACACCAGCCGATTGAATAATGTTTGTTGTATAGTACCTAAAAATGAAGGCTATTTCCTCGAGAACCTCCTGAGACTGTAATATACTGCATTTTTCTTGAGTTCTAGGTACCCTGCTAATTAGTTAGCTAGCTCCATTACCTGGAACTAGTAAGGCTGCGTCCATACTTTGCGGCGGCATTCACTAATGACAGAGTCCACAAGCTTCTCGAGGGCATAGGAAGTATAGGTATCTATCTAGCGCCTGCCAGCGTTCACCAGCGTCTAAAAGCGTCCAGGAGAGGAGAGCATGGCGCCATAGGAAGGTAGCAGACAGCTTGTACTCTCTTATCGCGCCGATTCTCTACTAACAGTCTGCCACCCTCTTATCTCCCCATACTCTACCAGGTGTCTGCTACCTCCTATCGCGCCATACTCTCCTCTCCTGGACGCTGGTAGGCGCTAGCGGCCGCTGATAGACGCTGGGGGACGCTGCCAGATGCCGGCTAGTTTGATGTCGGTACATTCCTAGTTGCTGACGCTGCCGGACGCTCGGAACGCTGATGGACGCTATTGGTCGCTGGTGGACGCTGCCGCAAAGTATGAACGTAGCCTAATCGTGTATTGAGACTAGTTCGAGATATCGGCATCCCAACCTGACCCGGGCTCCCAATATTTAAGTTCAGTTTGAATTGTGTTTTGAATCCAGCGGTTCAGTTTCAGATTTCAGTTTGCGCTATAGTGCTACCTGTCTACTGGGGAGCATCTTCCAGGTTCTGATTTAGTCGGCATAATTACCATACTTACATAACAGTATTGATACCGGACAGCTGTTGGAATGCTTGAATGACGCTCCCAATAAATAAAGCTTTGAGGACGTGAGGAGTCCGCAGAACTCGCACTATCATCGGACCACTTCCTGTAAAGAAAAAAATCTAACAAAGCCTGGTACAAAATGCTACACAGATGATAATTTTTCTTCATCCCTTGTAGTCACACAACCGATAAAGAGAAACCGGTACCGCCTCAATCTTATATTCGTCGCTCAGGCTACGTTTATACTTTGCCTCAATACGGCAAAGTTTTGAGGGTTTCGAGCGTGTACCAGTGCAAA